CCCCAAAACCCCAAAACCCCAAAACCCCAAAACCCCAAAAGGGATTTGAGAAGTTGAAATTAGTGATTTGGGGGAGGTATTGAGGTGAAATTTTAGCGGTTAGATATAGATTTTAGCATTGCTGAACCCGCTTGAGGTGATCAAGTTTTTTGTAATTTCTTTGTTGAGTCTGCATGATTTTAGGTATATCCAACGCAAGCTTTGTTTGAGATCTTCTGAAGTTGCCAATCCTTTGATCAAGTTATCGAATTCATGAATATTTTTCTTCCAATTACTTCTGTTTACTTGACCTGATCTTTCAAAGCTTAAGCTTCTTAATTTAAGATTGTTTAGTGCAGCAGAAAAGTCAATAACTTTTGTAACAGACAGTTTACAGCCAGTCAATTTAATGTTCCAAACATGCTTGAAAGTGGAGATAATCCTCTTAAACTGTTTCTCACTGATATTAAAATTATCAAATCCTAATTCCACTGTAATTTTCCCACTTGCTTTCATAATATGATTAAAATAAGGAGTTATAGGCACTGTGTCATGTCTGGATTGAAGAAACAACCCAGAAACTTTGATTGGAAAACAATTAGCTAAGAAAGATTCAAACTTGTGATTTCTTTTAGAAAAGTCATGAACAATAATCTTGTTAAGCCTAGGGATTGTAATAGGATTTATCCTATTGATAAAGAGCAAGTCTTCGAGGATCCAAAAATAGAAAACTAGAGAACTAGAGTCTGAGGTAAAGTTTCTCGCATTTCTTTCTTCCAAGTGCACTGAAGCTCAAATTCTCCTCTCAAATTCTTTTTGTGCTTTAAATACGTATTTTTCTACACCTATAAATGACACGACTAGATTTCAAAATGACAAATCCCCAAAGACCATTCTACCATTGCCTCATCAGAATATCTAACACTCTTTCCAAGATCCAGCTAATTCCCTTCAGCTTCTTTTTAGTGTAACAATGAGCAACCTTCAAGGTTAAAATTGCAAAACTAAAATCCTAGCAAATTACCCCAAAATCCCCACTAAATCTTCAATTTCTTCAGTAAGCAAGTTCTTGGTGAGCAGTGATTACCTTCCTCTGGACATGAATTTTGAGTCTTCTCCATTTATGATTTAAAAAGTGTATATTATTATTAAAATTCGATCTTATAAACAGAGAGTGGGGTTTTGGGGTTTTGGGGTTTTGGGG